GTCACATAGCAATGGTACTTTCTTGAACTTGATTCCAAAATCACTCAAAGTGGCCTTCATCCAAAGTATTTGTGCACAACAACTACCAGCGGATATGCATTCGGCTTCGGCGGTTGATAATGCAATACTATTTTGCTTCTTTGATGACCATGAAACAAGTGATCTTCTCAAGAATTGGCATATGCCCGAGGTGTTTTTCCTTTCAACCTTGCATCCCGCATAATCCGAGTCGGAGTAACCAACTAGGTCAAACTTTACTCCTTTGGGATACCACAAACTAACATTTTGTGTATGCTTCAAGTACCTCAATATTCTCTTTGTAGCCTTCAAATGACTTTCTCTTAGTGATGATTGAAATCTTGCACACATGCATACACTAAACATGACATCCGGCCTTGATGCGGTCACATAGAGTAGGCTTCTAATCATAGACTGATACAACTTTTGATCCACCATATTTCCACTTGCATCACTATCCAAGTTACCATTTGTTGATATACTTGCCTTGACTTACAAATGTACCATTCTTTAATTGCTTGATTTGAAGACCAAGTAAGTAACTCAACTCTCCAATCATGGACATCTCAAACTCATTAGCCATCATCTTTCCAAACTCATCACAAAAGTCTCGATTGGTTAATCTAAATATAATGTCATCAACATAGATTTGCAACACAAATAAATCTTTTCCAATATTCTCGATGAAAAGAGTGGTGTCTACCTTGCCCATTATGAACCCTTTAGAGAGTAGTAAGTCCCTTAATCTCTCATACCATGCTCTAGGTGCTTGCTTCAAGCCATACAATGCCTTCTTCAACTTGTACACATGGTCAGGCTTCTTGTCATCTTCAAAACCGGGAGGTTGCTCAACATATACTTCTTCATTGATGTAACCATTGAGAAATGCACTCTTAACATCCATTTGATAGAGTTTGATGTTGTAGGCACAAGCATAAGCTAGCAAGATTCTAATTGCTTCCAATCTAGCAACCGGGGTATATGTTTCTCCAAAGTCAAGACCTTCAACTTGTGTACAGCCTTGTGCTACCAATCTTGCTTTGTTTCTTACTACTATCACATCTTGATCTTGTTTGTTTCTAAAGACTCATTTGGTTCCAATCACATTATGTCCCTTTGGTCTCTCTACTAATTACCATACTTAATTTTTTGTGAAATTGTTCAATTCTTCATGCATAGAATTTACCCAATCAACATCCTTCAATGCTTCATCTATCTTCTTTGGTTCAATAGATGACACAAATAAGAAGTGCTCGCAAAATAAAGCCAATCTTGATCTTGTTTATACACCTCTAGAAATATCTCAAATTATAGTGTCCAATGGATGGTCCCTTGTAATATTGGTTGGTTGGAGAATTTGAACTTGATTGCTTACACTTGCTTGATCATTGGGTTAAGATGATATACTAGCCACTTGATCTTGTTCATTATCATGAGAGCCACTTGCACTACCTTGATTTGTATCATCTTGCACATTTAAGTTAGAGAGCACTTGCACTTGATCATCTTCATCATCATTCACTTGCCAAGGCCTCAATTCATCAACATCCATGTTCTTCATAGCATTTGAAAGTTGAATGCCTCTAACATCTTCCAAGTTCTCATTCTCTTCTTGTGAACCCTTGGTTTCATCAAATTCAACATCATGAACTTCCTCAAGAGTACTACTATCCAAATTCCAAACTCTACATGCTTTGCTTGTAGTGGAATAACCAAGTAGGAATCATTCATCATATTTCTTATCAAACTTGCCCAATATAGTGCATTTCTTTAAGATATAGCATTTGCAACCAAAGACCAAAAAATATACAATGTTGGGCTTTCTACCATTCAAGAGTTCATATGGTGTCTTCTCTTTCAAAGGGTGACAATATAGGCGATTGCTATAATAGCAAGCCATGTGATACCTTTGGCCCAAAAAGATTGACTTACATTGTACTCACTAAGTATAGACCTTGTCATATCAATGAGTGTTCTATTCTTTCTCTCAACAAGGCCATTTGATTGTGGAGTGTACTTGACCAAGAATTGATGTCTAATTTCAAATCCATCACACAACTCATCAATTCTAGTGTTCTTGAACTCACTACCATTGTCACTTCTAACTCTCTTGATGGTTGTTTCAAACTCATTGCGAATGCCCTTGACAAATGATTTGAATGTTACAAACACATCAATTTTATCCACTACAAAGAATACCCAAGTGTATATAGTATAATCATTCACTATCACAAAGCCATATTTGTTACCACCAATGCTAGTGTATTGTGTTGGCCTAAACAAGTCCATGTGCAACAACTCAAATGCTTTACTAGTGCTCATCATGCTTTTCTTAGGATGGATGTTACCAACTTGCTTTCCAGCTTGACAAGAGCTACAAAGCTTATCCTTCTCAAACACAACATCTTTCAAATCTCTAATCAAATCATGCTTAACCAATCTATTTAATTGTTTCATTCCAACATGACAAAGCCTTCTATACCATAACCAACCTATGCTAGACTTAATAAACAAATATATAGATAATTTAGCTTCACTAGCTTTGACTCATCAAATTGCTGTCCTTGCCGAGCAAGGCGAGGCGAGCAGGATGGAAGCAGAGGCGGAGGCAGGGAACGTCAACGGCTAATTCTGGATTCTCATCCCTTACTACTCTAGATAGCTACTAGGGCCTAAGCCGTTGGAGTGTTACTCAAATGTGGAGTGCTCTTTTCCTTGAGGTGGTGTTGTTAAATGAGGAGGAGGGAGCCTCCTTTTATAGGTGGAGACGAGGGGGTTCTTTGGAAAATGCTTCATCCTCTCATGGAAAGCACCAAACCAACCTCCAAGTATGTTGAACTTGGGCCAAACCCCGAGAACCGACCAAAGAGAGGCGGTTTTAACCACCTTGACAAAGTTGGGCCCAAGGCGAGCGACAAGGGTGGGCCACCTTGAGTCCAATTTTATTGTGCGGTATTCTTTGGTCTTCTAGAGTGGGCCTGTGTGGTTTTTGCGTAGATTGGTGGTGTTTGGATTTGGGTTTGTCAATGTTCTCCCCTCGTATGGGCCCTAATTCTTCTGGTGATTGGGCCTCTCTCCTTTGGGCTTGTGTAGAATGGTATTTGTGCTTTGTCCTCTTGCACATTTTTAGACTTTTGATGTGTATTTCCACAAATGCCCTCCTGCAAATGTATAAACACCAAAACTCATGGAATTCGTTAGTTATAAACTCTATCACTAAATTTGGTGTTCATTTGAGTGAATTTTATGTGAGTGTTGGAGGTTGAAAATAGGAGTTAAGGACCGCCAACAGGCAGCCGCCACCCTAGCCCTCCTCTTGGCTAAACATGCTAAGTCTTCACTCTCATCGGCCAACTAGGGAACACTTGGAACCTTTGGGGGATATTTGACAACTTTGCGAGATATTGTGTTACCTTGCCAAGCTATAAGTCAGAACGAGCAACGTGTTTGGATTCTCAGCTAGCTTACCTCGAGGTCTGTGTTTGGCAAAGATTTTCTTTGCTGAGATGAGCTAGCCAAATTGGCTCGCTTGGGATGGCATGATTTGGGTTGACCAACAACCAAGGGGCCGCTTTGTTGATCTTGCCTCACCTAGCCAGCCTCGTCTATTAAACAAGATATAACCTTGCTCACGTGGACAGGCCGATCTACCTTTCCTTTGCTGGCAAGGTAATCAAAGCACTCCGTCTGTTCTAAAATAAATGCACACATCGTACTTCGAGGAGTCATCAAAGAATCCTAAATTTGACTAAATTTATAGAAAATAGTATTAACATCCTTATCTCTAAACAAGATTAGTATAAAAATATATGATATGATTGATCTAGTGTTGATTATTTGATATTATAAATCTCAGTATTTTTTCTCGTATAATTTGGTCAAATTTAAACTTGTTTGATTCATCAAATTGCTGTCCTTGCCGAGCAAGGCGAGGCGAGCAGGAAGGAAGCAGAAGCAGAAGCAGAGGCAGGGAACGTCAACGGCTAATTCTGGATTCTCATCCGACGGAGCGTACACAGCCCCCAAACTCCACGGCCGTCCTCTTGCTCGCTCGTCGCCGCCGCGCCGAACTCCTACGCGCCTACGCCCAGGCACATCTGCCCCTCCGCTGCCCGCCGCCGCAACAGCAGTCCGCACCGCTTGCTCGCGCGGTCCGGGTCCGCTCCGCATCCGTGCGCGCGGCGCCGCGCTGCCGAAGCAGATGCCGGGCCACCGCCGGGCCCACCTCCGTAGCCGCTTCAGCTTCGCCGCGCCAGCGCGAGTAAACCAACTCTTCCGCCCTTGCAATCTGACGGCATTAGAGTGCTAGAGTTGGGCTGAATGATGTATAGTACTTCCTAATGTTCAGTGCTGAGCCCTGTTATTTTCGTTGTTTCTTCAGGCAGTCGAATTTTCATCTGAATCTGGTGTCTCAATCTCACCATTTGAGAACTCGATTACACCAAAATTATGAGATCTTCAATCGACTAATGGGTTGCAAACATAATAGGTTGTCAAATAGTTGAGGAAGGGCAACAAATACAAGGAATCAAAGGTGGGATGGTGGTGTCACGACGCCTCCTCTTGAAGTGTCGCTGCAGTTCAGTGAGTAATGGCTATCACTGAATAAACACCCGTCTTATATTGCATACACATAACATCAGTACCACAATATTTTCCCTGCTTATTCATACAATCACCAAGCCAACAAGAGTCGGATTCACATGCTTCAATGCACATACATTCTTACTCCATGGCCTGTGTCTCTGGACTGAATATTGACACTCTTGGTGTTTAACAAGGTGATACAGCGCACCCCAAGTTTGCTTTTGGTTTGGTTGTAGGTGTAAATATATATTTTCGTACATTCAAGAAAATATTATTATTGGGAGACAATATTTCTGCAAAGCTGAAAAGGCGGCCATTTAAACTGATGTTCTATATAATGCAAACCATTCTTGAGCCTAATGTATACCACTGCATAGTAACTTCTTTTAGTTACCTTATAGGATGGTGTCCCTTATCCTGCGCATCTCAGCTGCTGCATCCCTCATGCTGATTCTTTCTGTTGGTGCATGCTTGCTACATGATAGCGCAAGTTTTGTGATAGATAACATAACCTTGTTGATATCTTCCATTGCATTTCTTGCACCCTGTGAAGTAGATGCTTGAGCTTCTTCGTCAGAGACTAGGATGGGATCAACAATATTCATCAGCATCCCTGGAAACGCATTCTCAGCATGCTTTTGCAAGGTTAACCCATCTTTGAACATGTCCTCAGTAGGTGTCAGGCCTGTAAACAACTCGAGGATGACAATTCCAAAGCTGTATACATCACCACACGGAGAAACTTGAGCACCACCTCCATATTCTACATTGCATAGCAAAACAATAGTGATTCCCCACATTCTATATTGCATATGCAAACAATAGTGATATAACACACAGACTTAATGATAAAACTTCGAGTTACCTGGAGCCACATATCCAATTGTTCCTCTTATACCCATAGTGCTATTTGAGTCGACCTGTTGCTCACTTGCTGGATTAGGAAGAACTTTTGCAAGGCCGAAATCCCCAACATGAGCAACCAATTCCTGATCAAGAAGAATATTGCTTGGCTTCAAGTCACAGTGAACTATTGGTGGTTCACAGCTGTTGTGCAAATACTCTAGGGCATCAGCAACATCAACAGCAATATTCAATCTTTGTGTCAATGTCAGACCATGCCATTGCTGTGATGTATGCTCATCTAGATGTAACCACCTATGTAAACTTCCATTTGGCATAAACTCAAACACAATTGCTTTGAAGTCATTCTGGGTTGAGTCAGAACTGGAGCAGCAAGTTATGACGCCGACCAAGTTACGATGACGGATCTTCGTAAGTGCCTCACACTCAGATATGAAGCTTTTGGAAGAGCCAGGTTGTTGAAGATCAAAAACCTTCACAGCAACTGTAGTTATCATATTTTTGAGTAGCAAGCTGCACTTATACACTGATCCATACCTTCCTTTGCCAATCAGATTGTTAGTATCGAATCCATTTGTTCCTTGGAGCAATTCAGCATATGAAACTCTAGGATATTTGTCATCCATCAGATGTAACTCTGTCAGTGATGTAGACTGAGATTTTTGTTTCTTCTTTAATGAAATGGAAATAAGTACCAAACCGAAACAAAAAAGGATGCCAGCAATTGGTAATATTACTTTGAAAATGGGAGCAACTTTCCTTTTTCTGTCGTCCACGGAATTTTGCAGGCATGGAGGCAAATGTAGTTCGGGGATACCACCACAGAGCCCAAGATTGCCATCAAATAGAAACCCAGTCACATTACTGAACACCCCATGCAATGGAACTTTACCATCCAGATGGTTGAAGGACAGGTCTAGTTTATCCAACGATGTCATGTTTTCAAAGGTTTCTGGTATTCTCCCAAACAAATTGTTGCGTGAAAGATTCAATCCTTGCAACCCATCCATGAGACCCAATTCTTGTGGAATTGGACCTGAGAGTGCATTATTGTCCAGAGTTAAGATTATCAAACCTTTCATTTTGCTGATAGAGGCAGGGATGGTACCATTGAAGGAGTTAGTGTCCAACCGAAGGCCTATCAGGCTCTGGCAATTGCTGATAGCATCTGGTATTGATCCTGATAAATTGTTCCCGGGGATATACAAGTATGCAAGTTTTGTTAGGCTGCCGACTTCTGGTGGAAGAGGACCAATGAAATTATTGTACGACAAATCCAGAGCAAATGACAGGGATGATATGTTTAAGGTCACTGTTGGAAACAGACCTGTGAACTTATTGTTATTGAATGTTGCCATAGTTAAGTCCTGGAGGCTTCCTAGGCTTGTAGGAAGAGCCCCCTCAAACATGTTGTGGCTTGTGTAAAGATGTAGTAGCTTTGTTAAGTTCCCGAGCGAGGATGGTAAGAACCCTGTCAACTGGTTACCATCGAATCCCAAAGCTTGCAGTGAATTTAGCATTCCAATGCTCTCAGGCAAGACACCAGTAAATTGGTTATTGGATAACTCCAGCTGAGTTAACCCAACAAGGTTTCTGATGCCAAATGGTATCTTTCCAGAAATCTCATTGTATCCAACATAAAGAACCTGGAGTTGTGCTGATAGGTTTGAAACAGAGCTTGGTAGCATGGCACCTAGCATGTTGTCTTGGACATCAAATATACGAAGCCTTGTGCAGTTTGTCAGGAATGTAACAAATTTCCAGTCTTGTGCAGATGTCGCCGTGAGCTGATTTGTGTCGAAAGAGATGTAGTCTGGGCAAAGTTTTCCAATCTCAGGAGGCACACTTCCGGTGAAATTGTTAAAGGAGATGTCTAGAGAATATATCTCCGTTGCATTGGCAAGAGAGGCTGGAAGGCTTCCTGTAAAATGGTTCATACCAAGGCGCAGGTACTTGAGATTCGGTAGGTGAACTCCCAAGTCTGAGGGAAGCATGCCATGCAACTCATTCTTGGTCACTCTGAAGAGTATAAGTGAGGAAATATTAAAGAATGTCTTAGGAAGACTTCCTGAGAAATGGTTTTCCCCCAGATCCAAAAACATGAGACTATTATTCAGCCCACCCAAGCCCTCAGGTATTGTACCCTCAAGCTCGTTCCTGGTCAAATATATTTCTTGCAGGGACGAGAGGTTGCCAAGGGATTCTGGAATTACTCCAGTGAAGTTGTTTTTTCTCAGGTTTATGACCTTGAGTGGTAAGCCTCCAAGCCAGGCAGGGATTTCTCCCGTGAAAAAGTTCGAGTCAAGTTCGATCCTTTCAAGACTGGTGCAATTCTTTAACTGGGTGGTTATCTCACCTTGCAGCATGTTGTTAGACAAATTGAGATGCTGCAACCGAGGCAGCTGGCCAACTGATACTGGAATTTCACCCTGCAATTTGTTGGAGCTGAGATCCAGAATTCTTAAGAATGTGAGGTTGCCAATGGAAGAGGTGATTGTGCCAGAAAAGCCCTGAGAGGTGAGGTTTAGAACTGTCACCCTGTCCTTGTGCTTAAGGCTGCAACTGACACCTGGCCAGTGGCAGAACTTAGTAGTTGTGTTCCATGCAGCCAGGACTCCATGCTGCTGGTTTAGGCTCGCCTTGATTTCCAGTAGGATACCCTCATCAGGGTTTTTGTTAACTGCTATTGCTGATGCACTGGGTACCATTCGGAGCTCATACGCGATGAGAAGTAACAGAAGAATAGGAAACATGGATGACACTGCAAAGCATGGAACAATTTGTGAGTTTACTATGATTGAACATGTTGCATGTCAAGGCAGTAAACATATTAAGGGGTGTGCATCAGTCATTGCCTCAATATGGAAGCAATTTGGGGTATGTAATCCCCATCTTCTGAAAGGAAGAATTTTATGCTAGCGGTTTTGAAGGTAGCATAAATAGAGGTTAATACAGCATTTAGCATTGTTTGGTTATTCTACTTTTGAAGCCTTTATTGTCAAATTGTAGTTTCGTACTTCACAATATCACGTGCCATTTTTTTTCAGATTTTATGTTTTCTAACCATGTTAATGTTCTGGTGTCTACATTTATTGAGAAAAGTTTTGCTCACTCCTCACACAATTAATGTGGTTAGTGATGTGCTAATGCCACTACCGTCTTGTAACAAATGGCAGCATGGATAAAGTAATTATCCGAACCGGCACCCAACCACAGTCGGCATAAAATACTTCAAGATCTGTCCTGGTTTGTAATAATTTTATCTTCAAGGCTATTCAGCTCACATCACAGATGTGCAAAGAGATTTTCAAGCAAGAATTTGCTCTGGTTCTGATGGTGGAAGTTCTTCACCCAGGCCTGGAGGGCTTGGAGTTGCATGTAGCTACTGTAGCTTCCTTGTAGTTCGGCTGTTGCTTCAGCTAGAACGTTCTCAAGCTTGTTAAACCTTGGTGAGGCAAAGTCTTCTTTTTGGAGTATGGACGTTCACATCCACTAGGTGCCTGGCGTGCTTTCCATTTAGGCAGTTGACCTTGCTTGGTTATGGTTGGGTTTGCTAATTTGGTTGCCTGTTTTTGTATTGGAATCCAGGAACATCTGTTGTGGAAAAAAGTGTTTTCTTGAGAAAAAAAAATTGTAAGATATGTTCTGTTCATCCACGGTTACCTTTATTTCTTGCTTTCCTCCCCACTTTTTTGTGTAGTTTGAATTTTGTGGTAGCTAAGTAATTTCTCTGTAGCATGTTGTCTGTTCAGAAAAAGAATTGTTTTTTTTAGATAAATCCCATGCCACAACCACATAAAATCGCGCGCGCGTCCTTGATCTTTCACTACTTATGCTTATGGCATTGGCTTATCGAAAGAACAAATGCATGGATTTATCATCAAGGACGCGCTGTTTTTTTCTCTATCTTGGCCTTGGCCTCTTGTTAACTACCATACCTCCTATATCAATGTATTCAACATAGAACTCCTGCCTGTTCTCCCTCTCTTTTGTTTTAGAAAAAAGGAAGATGAAAAATAACTACCCTTTTCATGACATGATTCACAGCTTTAGCATGAACAAGTTGTCATCGCATCAGAAATTTGGATGCTGAAACACAATATGTATATGAGGTTCGAATCACATACTTGATTTCCTGAAGAACGACCAGCCCTCCTGGTTGCCTTATAGTATTTGTTCTCGATCAACTTCTTTGTGTTACTACGTAATTTGTAAGTATGAGAATACTGGAAAAACTGAAAAGGCAAATCCTCTGTATTGCTCCATATATGCACAGGAGATGACGACTACCCTCGCCGGTCAAGCACGGGTATGCTGATTGTAACATTTTTAGTTAGGCTGCTAAACATGGACGACATAATGCTAAATGCTATTAGCCTTAATAGATAACACACTAGCACCCAACTTAGTATCGTTGCTAACATAAAACTAAAGGGCTTAAGTTGAACGAGATTGAAATCTTCCATATTCAAAAGATATTTCTTGTTGACATATATATAATCTTCATCTATACAAGGATCTTTATAGATCTTGAAAATTTGGAGTCCTTCATAAAAACAACTGTGTGTTTTAAGTTCAAAACATCAAGAGGAGAAAGGCTAGATAAGTTTTTTTTTTATTAAAATAAGTTTATAAAATGACTATTTTAACTAGGTTGAGCATTCTCCGTCAGTATGGCTATAAATACCACTCTGTCATATTTGTTTTTTCGAAGAAGATCAAAAGCTAACTATATGTGTGATGTCCATACACACATATAGCGGCAAAATGGAAAATATCAGAAACATTATTTTGCCAATAATGTTAATGTATTTATATTAACAAATACCAAAACAGGACACAATGAAAATAATTACTAATCTTCTATTAGGCCCAGGGCGGATTTAGGGGGGGTGTCAGGGGTGGGCTCTAGCCCCCTACAGGCATGAAGGCACAATGGAGCCCTCCCATCCCCTAAGTTTTGGACATAGGTGAAGTAGTAGAAGAAGTAAATAGAGAGGGAGAAGAAAAAATAGGAGTGACGTGGATGAGCTCCCCCCTATGTCATTGGACTATACGTTCACCACTATTAGACCTCTATTCTCCACAGGGGTTGGTTGACCATGGAGCACTCGCCTAGTACTCATAAAACTCCTTATGAAACTCATCAAAAGATCCACCATTTGGTACCCATCTAGGATTGTGTTGAATTCAAGAAAGTTTGAGCACCATCGTATTCAATAAACATAACATGAGCAGGGCTTTGCATTTCTTGGCTCGCCCTTCTGATATCGGAGACTTCCTCGGAAGAGGGCAGTCTACGGGCTGCCGAGCCATCCCTTCTCTGCCAGAGGGTGCACACATTGCACACGATGGCAGCAACCCCCCGAGTCCCCCGTTGATTTGGAGAATCAGTCGGGGGTTAGCCGGACTATCATGTCCTTGATCCAGGGGTTTAACATACTCCTATGTTAGACTCTCGTCAACGAGAAACGTTGAGAGACCAAGGTTCCATATGTTACCTATGTCGAGATTCGATGATTCATGGATGTGAGCCAAAGGAGACAACAAGGACAATGCTAAGATGGGTTGCGTTCATGGACCACAGGTTCCCCCAATGTCCATGCATACACCAAGAATGGTATGGGCCATGTTTTCCACTATCCATTATAATTATTGCATAACCCACATAGATAGTGCTACTATGGCTGAAGTGGACATTACATTGTAGGAGCTAATGTACATAATTCAATACTTCTGATTTCTGATGAAGGTCCCGTTTGACACAGCTCCATCAGCGGCTCCTGAAGCTGTTTGGAGCCATTTTATGCCAAACAGGATAAAACAAAAATAGCTCTACCTAAGGAGTTCCTTAAAACCTGTCGAGACGTAAGATGTGTACGAGATGGAGCTGAAAAAAGTAGCTCCACCCAGCTCCATGCGCAGGCCCGCATGCCACTGCTCTTGTACTTTCGTAAATTTATGCGATCTACCACCCAGACACTTCTTTCTCCCATTCGCATTTTATGTTAGGTCTTCTCGTTTCCGCCCATTTTTTGGTGGGAAAATGAAGTGGAGGGTCCTTCTCAAAATGCCGAGTTACCCAATATAGAAGCAAAAGATGATTGTTGTTGCAACCATGTGTCTACATAATTTCATTCATGAGAACCATTCTGCGGATAAACATTTTAGTAAATGCAATCGGAATCCCAATTATGTGTCGACTATACCTCTAAGGTATAGAAAGCGTTTTGCTTCACACAATGCAGGTGACACATCAACTTCGGAATCTAATGATTGGAATATGGATAAATTCCGAGATTACCTTGATGGGCAATATATCTATCTAGATCATCATGAGCATATATGTTTATATTATCGAATGACACATATCATGACTTTGCACAGCCATATTTGTTTTAGTGGGTCATTCCTATGCAAAAAAGCTCATTAATATTGGTTGCTAATACTTTGTGTTATTTTAAATTTTATTTTATTTTAATGAATTCAAATTTACTTCGATGAAAACTCGTGTAGAAACATACATCTCTAGATGTTACTACAAGTTAAATAGACAGGGGTATATTGGACAATTGACATCTCTCAACCATGCATGATAAAACAAGTGGAGCTATTTAACCAAATAGTCTACCAAAATAGCTCCAACTCCACTGGTGGAGCTGTTCATGGAGCTGAAGCAAAAAAAAAGCTCCAGTAGTGAAGTGGAGCCGTGCCAAATGGGGTTGAAATATTTCTCTTGGAAACCGTAATAATTTACAAATTAATTGAAATATCACAATTTATTTCCATGTTAGTTCCAAATATCACAATTAAATACAACATTAATTCTGAATATCACACTTTAGTTCAATTTCATATCATAAATTCACAATTTAATTCCATATTAATCATATTTGCAATAATATCATCCACAATGGCACATAGAGAATGATGGGAAGGAAAGGGGTGAAAGGAGTAAACGGCTTAGGACCTGTTTAGATGGACTAGGACTAACAACTAGTCCTATTAGCTTCTACAAATGGACTAATGAACTAACAACTAGTTCATGACTAATGAACTAACAATTATTCCGCTTGTTTGATACTTAGAGACTAAAAATTAGTCAACTAGTTGTTAGTTTTGTGGATCCAAATAGGGCCTTAGGACGGATCAGAGAAGGCTGCAACGGACAAGGTCATGGCGGTGGAGCTTGGCCAACTGTGGGGGCACAAATGATGTCAGCGTCGGTAGTACCACTGAGGAGTTGACAAATCCAAGTGGCGTTGAAATTGAAGGATCACCATCACTAGGGCATGGTGAAGGTGAGGACACGGGTGAGGAGCTGGGCTAGGCTCGTGCCGCTAGCGGTGAAGTAGCGGCAACATACAAAAGTTTTCCGCCTACTACGTGGAAGAGGGGTGTTTGGAACTTAAGCTAAAGTTTAGCCCTTGTCACATCGGATATTTAGATTCTAATTAGGAGGATTAAACATGAGCTAATTATAAAACTAATTGTAGAAGTCATGGCTAATTCGTGAGATGAATCTATTAAGCCTAATTGATTCATCATTAGCACATGTTTACTGTAGCACCATATTGTCAAATCATGGACTAATTAGACTTAATAGATTCGTCTCGCGAATTAGCCCTCATTTATGTAATTAGTTTTATAATTAACCAATATTTAATATTTCTAATTAGCATCAAACATCTATTGTGATGGGGCTAAACTTTAGCCCCCTAATTTCCAGACGGGACCGAATCCTATACGTAGC